GGACCATAATTGTGGTGATGTCTGATGAGCTGCTGGGAAGGCACAGATGGGGGATCTGAGACACCTGGACTGCCCTCTCTAAAATTCCACACTCATTTCTAGAGGTTTAGGTCTGTCAGGTATGTCATTTCCCAGCTTCTTCCAAAATGTTGAGAAAAGGATTCCAAAGGCCCTGCTGCTGCTGTTGCATGTATGGAGGGGTTTCTAAATTAGCAGAATGAACAGATTGCTGCAGATGAGGAAGTTGCCTGTCATAATATAAAGGGTTGAAGCAACTAAATTACACTTACCAGTCGTCAAGATTAGGTTATTTTTAATGATAACTTCCATTAGCACTTTTTTCTTAATTTTGCACACTTTGAGTAATCTAGTGACTTCTTCAATAATGCCTGACAGGTGTGTGTTGTATCAGACTGGCTGCATTTGGGACAGTTGTCTGTTTGCAGTATTTGTTGTTCTGGAAAGGCTTGTGATCAGAAGGAGCAAAGCTAAAAAGTAAAACACGTTGAAAGGTATGCTAACTGTTGTCATTCTTGTTTGAAAACCTTATTTTCATCAATCCAAATTATCCTGCAACTAGGAAAAAAGTGATTTTTAGTAATGACCTTTTTATTGTCTCACATGTACCTGCAAATGTAAATCACCATCAGAAGCAGCCATGCAAAACTTTTCTAATCTGGGCTCAGGAAAAATAGATTTCCCCAATTTGGGCCAAATAAATACCCCTGGCTGTGAACTAGAGCAGTGCAGATCTGTAGGACTGTAACCATGCCATGCACACAGAAATCTGGGACTGGGCAGGAGATGTGGGGGAGTGCAAAATCTGCTCCTCTAACTTTAAACGTGGATGCAGCTCCAAACAGGGCATCAAAGAAACTCAGGTTTGCATTTCAAAGGATCTGTTCCTCAACAGGGGGAAGGGAGATTCCTGAGGAGTCCTGGGTTTTGGCTGTCAGGTGTATACATGTTCAAAATATGCAGAAAATCATCTGGTAGCTTGTTATGTTGAGCACTTATATTCTAGTTATTACTTCTTCTAATAAATAATGGCATTTTTACGTTATTCACACATTTCCTAGTCATCCAAGCTGTTACAATTACCAGATGAATTCTTGATAATCTCTGGGGTTTAGCTGCAAGTAGGAATACCTGTGAAAGAGCTCATTGAAATTTGGTTTTGTTCCGAGCCTCTGAAAACTAGTAACATGGAGGAACTGTTACAAAAACCTTCTCCGTTAAGGTTTTATCACCTAAGAAGATCAGACAGGCTTCTTCCTGTTTGTTATTTGTCATTCAAACTTTGTTATATGGCAGCTCATCGTTTTGGCCTGAATGTGGGTGATGGATACTCCCTAGTTGGGATTTTCTGTTTTTTTTTATTTTCTCCTTTAAATGACATTTTCAGGCTATCCATTATGTGCTAGCTGCATGGCTGCTCAACAAAACTATCTGGAAACAAGGTCTTTGAACTGACAAACTGCAGTTGTTTTGAAATTGCTGCTTCAGATAGATGTTTGCCTCAGGAGTAGTTCTTTGGTTTTCTAGATTTTGGCTTTTAAGAGATTGATACCTCATCTCTTTCAGTAAGATATAGCGAAAATACAGGTTTCCCAGATTAGAATCTTGAAAACCATTTTGCTTTCTTGGCTTTCTTTTTGTCACGCAGAAGAGTTTGCACCCACAGCAGGTCTGTACACCTTTTTCCCTGTGCAAAAGGGACAGTGATTAAATGTGACTGAAGCTGTAGTTGTGCCTGCTGCTGTCAAAAAGTATTTCTACATTGGGACTACATCCTTTTTTCCTAAACAGCATCATGGATGTTGTTGATGCCCAGACATTTGAAACACAATGTGTTGCTCTTGGAACACACAGTATTCTTATGCCCTTGCATGTACTTGGTATGGATTAATATTAAATTAATTTCCATCCTCATCTGCACTTCAAATGACCTTAAATTCAAAGCAGGGATTTAAGGAAGGCTGAATTGAGCATCAGTAATTGCCATGTTGGGAAATGAGTAAAGCATGAGTAAGAGATGGGATCACTGTGAAGGTCTGATGTTCTGGAGGGACTGATAAGCAGCTGGGCAGCCGTGGCTGGTGGAGGAGGAAAGACAAAGTGGAGTCCAAGGATGACAGGAAGATTTCCTGTTCTTGGAACAATGTCCCCGTTCTGTGAATGCCCTTTCTGCCTCTGTGAGCACAGCAGTGAGCAGTGGAAATACACTGTCACCAAGAGGTGAAGCTGCACTGTGTTGGAGGGGATAAATGCTCTGTTAGTGCTCTGAGGTTTTCATTATTTCAGTTTGTCTCCAGTTCTGTCCTACTGGCATCGGGCAAAGCCCACCCTCTAAAGCCTAGGAAGGCTCACCGTGATTGAGTGATTCCTTTCTCCCTTCTCCCTTTCATGATCATCTTCTAGGGAAAATAAAGCAAAACCAACATCTTCCTAATGATTTAAAACACTGAACTTGGTGAAACCCACCAGAAGCCAGGAAAGTGTGATCTAAACCTGCTTCTCATACTCGGGGAGCAACTTTATCTAGTCCAAACATTCCTGGCTGAGGAAGGTTTTACAGCCAGGTTTCTGTTCCCTTCCTTTTTTTCTTGTTTTACCTGAGCATTATTTCTCATTCCAGACCATTAACAGCATCCATTACAAGGCCTCTGTAAGTTCCACACGTATTTGATGGTACTTTGCTGCCTAGAGAATTAGTTTTCCCTTAGCTCCTGTACTGCAGTGTAATCATCATGCTGGGCATGGGAGATCCATCTGCATGCTGAAAAGCAGGATTTGAGCATGAGGCCCGAATTGTTTTCCTAGCTGTTACATAAATAGCACCTCTTTTTGTGACACCCCTAGGACATAAGGCAAAAAGTGTGGAGGAATAGTCATTCGGCAGGATCTAATAGTTCTAATCTACCTAATAGTTCTAATCTAATATTTTAGATCTGTAGTATCTAATAGGGGGGAAAACCCTCCCCAGGTGAAACATGACCAGTGTGACACAGCTAACCAGTGCTTGGCATGAGATTTTTTTACTCCATTTCAAACTTGAAGGGCTTTGTGTGGCCAAAGGCACATCTGTGTTGTTCAGACAGTCAGTATTTGACAGGCTATAATGCATCTCCAGAGGTTTTGCCTAAATCCCATGAGCTGTTCCCTGTCTCACATAGCACAGGTGCTCTAGTATAACCTGTCTCTTTGCAGGGTTCCCTTCCCTTTGGCTGTGTGACAGATGGAGCCCAGGCTCTGATGAAACACCAGCCAAGCTCAAGCTTCAGAGACCTCCGAAATAAAATCACCTTTGGCACTGCAGTTACCTTATCTCTTTCTGCTTCACCAGTAGCTGCAGGAGGGTTGCCCAACACTTCCTTAATCTGAATGAGCAAGACCTTGAGAAGAGTGTGTTACTAACTCACTGGTGTGGGAGGGATTTGCCAACATTTCCTCAAGGACCTGGGTATGAACATTTCCAGGGACACAACTGCTGCTGCCAGCAACTGGGACGTCAGTAGGGGAGATAATTACTTAATTAAGGAGTGAGGAAGTTCCTTGCTGGCCTGTCACATTCAGAACTTATTCTATGAGAGCAACATCATCATTTACGTTGTTTGAAAGGGCTTTTTGGAAGCTGTGCCACAGGAAAAGAGGTTTTAACTCCAGCCCAGCTCAGTGAGTGGGAAGCAGCCAGTGCCCATCCCCAGCTGCCACATTCCACTAAATGGCCAGGTTTGTGCAGACTGGTTCAGCTGAGGACCAACCCTCCAGTTTGTGCAGGCCCAATTAACTTCTATCATCTCTTTTTCGAAATAACAAAAACATGTAATCTAAACTCACTGCACAGGGCTCTCTGACACCCTCTGCATCACCTGTTTACATAGAGGAGCCTATCACACCACTCACACCACATAACACTTACCTTTGACAAACTCAGTGTTAAAATACTGTATTTTCCCCCAAAGGAAGACAAGGAGGTTTTAAAAGGGTAAAATTATACATGCCTTCATTTATTCTTGGGGAGAAAAAAGAAGGGGTGGGGGGAGGCTTGTTTTAAAGCACAAAAGACTTGTTCTAAAGTGAAGAAGTCAAGTCAGGTCAAAATGTAAAAATACCCTTTTCAGTTCTAAAATCTCCACAGCTGGTCATTCCCACATTGAAAAACTTAAATAACCTTTCAGAGCTGTAGTAGGGCTAACGAAAACTCCGACCAAATGATAGATGTATTTGGACATTTGGATGTATAAATGTCACACCCAGTGGAATTAAGAGGAAATAAATAGTAATTTGACAGCATTGGCAAGCTGTGTTTTTGACTGTGTAGCACCACCAGCATATTTTACATGTGTATCACAGTCATGAATAAGCCAGTCCAGACACACATTCACAGACCAGTTTGGATTTCCTATTAATCTACATGCTCATTTTCTTTCCCCCACCCTTTCCAGCTAATAAAGAGCCAAGGGAACGAACTGATCCTTGTTTCTTTGGAACAAATTACCTCCAAATTCTCACGATTGATTCACACAGGCTGGTAAAACTCCAGGAGACAGGAGGGGGGGGGGAAAAAATCCCTTCCCAATGATAAGGCATTCTTGACATTTGAATTGTGTGTCATTTACTAAGGACCTAAAACCCTGATACCAAAGATGGCACTTGAAATTATCACTGGAGCCCTGCCTGGGGCTGTGGCTCCCTGCTCCAGAGGAGTTTCTGAGCACACTCAAGGAGTCAGTGATTTCTCCCTTCACCTCTGCCCTGCACAGAACGTGCTTCTGCCTGCCCAGGGACACGTTCTGGCATCAACCTGATCACTTAATGATACCCCTCCTGCACAGACCGGAGGCATGGAAAAGATTTTCATCTCTGAATTCACCGGAGCTTCTGGAAGTAATAAAAATTGTTTCCTCCTCTTCTTCTCACAAGGAAGAGCAAATCCTTTGAA